TGCCGTCCCCGGCGGCTCCGGTCAGCTGCTCTTCTCTCTACAAAACTTTCTTCTATCGCTCTGCAATACTTCGTATGTTCGGGCATTTGTTAACGATTGCATGTAGCTCACGCGATTCCAAGATGCCATATCAGATTCAAACTCTTTACCGTGATTCTCTAAGATTCTCCTAAATCTAAAGTATTCCACCTAGATGTTGTCGAACGGAAACTTCTCAGAAACTTGCAAACGGAGCGAAGTAATTCCTGTTGATAAAGGTTTCATGGCTTTGTTTTCTAAACTCCGCGCACTAAAAAGCAGAATCGGACGCTGAGGCAACGGTGGTACGATCTCGTGTAGAACTTCGGAACAACAGCGAACTCAGTCAGACAGAACTTCGTGTTGATGAATATATGTTCTATTTCATGATGAAAGTGTCTAACGGTGAGTCCCGTGTTCTCCGTGAATGAGAGAGAGCTTCTAAACCTGTGGATTTCCATGGCGTTGGTTTAGGAAACCGAGATTTTTCACTGCGGGGAGATTCATTTCATTGAACGCCTCCGCTGCTTACAGGAACTATGTTTTCTCCATTTTTGGCAAGTATTTGATTCGCCATCCATGTTTTGCTTGCTATTAATATCGCCGAAGAACATTTTCTGAAGGTTTCGATTGAGTTATTCATTTCGCTTCAGTATAAATCTGAGCATGATTGGCTCATGATTGTCACGACGGCTTATAGAAGCCCATCCGTTCTTCGAATGACCTAAATTGGACGAAGTTGCCCTCGTCCCTCTTCGAAACTACTGACAGGAAACTGGGTAGATGGCCAGATTCCATTTTCGCATTCTTCAGATGGTGCCCTTAAAGTCGCTAAACCTCCAGCCAATCGTGGTAGGCACCATGGTATCAACCATTATATGGTCCCACTGATCATGGTGCTGTGTGGGTGTGGATCAAAAGGTACCGGTAACGGAATAACCATAACATCGGCATGATATTGCTTATATACTATATATTATATGCTTGGATATTTTTATATTGGACCCTCGTGTCGGCCAAGGGGGACGCACGATTCGTGCGATTCTGGGTGCGCGCGGCAAA